TATATCAATATGTAAAGCAATGAAGTGTAACTGATGGGATTCTGCAAGCTGTATATGGGGTAAAATGGGAGTTCATAACCCGCTTGAATCAAAATGTGAAATATGATATATCAAGAACTATGTAATGTTTTGAACAACCAACATTAAAAAAAATAAATAAACAAAAAGAAAAAAAAGAAATGAAAAAAAAAAAAGATTTTGTCTCAAAAAATATAAAAGGAGCCAGGTGTGGTGGTACAATGTGATCCCAACAAATTGGGAGGCTGAGGCAGGAGGATCATAAGTTCAAGGCCAACCTCAGCAACTTAGCCCTAAATTTAGACTTAGTGAGACTCTGTCTTAAAGAAGAAAAAGGCTGAGGATTTAGTTCAGTAATAAAGCAACCCTGAGGGTTCAATCCCCAGTACAAATAAGTAAATAAATGAAGACTGGGGATGTATGTAACTCAGTGGTACAACCCCCGCCCAGGTTCAATCCCCTGTACCCAAAATATAAAAACAAAAATCCTTTCGCCAGGCACAGTGGTGCACACCTATACTCTCAGCTATTCAAAGACTGAGGCAGAAGGATGGCACATCCCAGGCCATCCACTTGACAACTTAGCAAGATCCTAGCTCAAAATAAAACAAAGGGCTGGGCTGGGGCTCAGCAGCAGAGGCTTGCCTAGCATGCGTGAGGCCCTGGGTTCCATCCCCAGCACCACAAAGTAATAAAAATAAAGCAGCCCTCTCTGGAATACACACACCCACGTGCATGCACACAGATGCACACCTAGGGGAGAGACTAAGGGGCCTGGGCCACCTCTTAATGGTCACTGCTGGGGCAGGTAAGGCAGCTGGCACAGAGGCATACACTGGCCTTGCCACCTTTTCAACCACTTGGCCTGTGTTAACCTTGGCAGCTTCTAAAAAGACACGGGGTACAAGCATGCCAGGGGTGCGCCTAGCATGCTTGACACATTGAAGCTCTGGGTTCTTCCCCAGCCCCACAGAAGGGGAGGGTAAAGAAGGGCTGGGGCTGGGGCTCGGGCTCAGTGGTAGAGCCCTTGCCTAGCACATGTAGGGCACTGGGCTCGATACTCAGCACCAATACAAATAAACAAATACAATAAAGGCATGCTGTCCATCTACAACTACAAATTTTTTTTTTWAAAAAAAGGAGGAGTAAAGCTAATTCAACCAAGATGATGGTGTCCCAGCTATTTGTAAAGCTGAGGCGGGGGAGGGGGTCACTTGAGCCAGTTCAAGGCCATCCTGGGCAGCATAGTGAAACCCTGTCTCAGGGGGAAAAAAAATTCACTCCTTGGGTTATCACACAGGCCTCTGACAGGACTGAGCACCTAGATTCCCCCTGAGGCTAAAGGACTTCTCCCATAACTTTGTGTGGGGACCAGCTGGGGTATAATGGACTTCCATCTGCCTGGGCTCTGTGCTGGGACAAGTCACCATCCCTGAACTTGCTCCTGCAAGACGAAGCTCTCCAATTCCCTTGTCTCTGACACTAGGATCAGAGAGGGGGTGGAAGATGATAGGGCATAGGCTAGAAAACAATCTGATGGCAGTGATGACAGCAAATCTCAGCTCTGGGCCAGACACATTCTCACCATTTAAGCTTAAGAGCACCAGAACACAGCTCCCACAACCCACTTTTATTATTTATTTATTTAGGTACTGGGGATTGAACTCAGGGGCACTCAACCACTGAGCCACATCCCAGCCCTATTTTGTATTTTATTTAAAGACAGGGTCTCACTGAGTTGCTCAGCACCTTGCTGAGGTTGGTTTTGAACTCAACAATCCTCCTGCCTCAGCCTCCTGAGCTGTTGGAATTACAGGCGTGAGCCACCAGGCCTATCCCACCACCCCCGTTTCACAGGTAAGGTCAGGTAACCTGCTGCAGGTCAGGAAGCTGCTGAGTAGCAGGCAGGCTGGATCTATCTGCATCCTGATTGCAAGAACCTTGCCCAGGGATCTTCCCTTGCTAACCAGCCCTGCCTCCTTTTTCCTCTGCAGCTATGCCGGCTTCTATCCACAGCTGCGTTACCAAGTGGGGAACACCTATGGGCGCACCACAGCACAGCTGCTCACGGATCCCAGCGTGCAGAAGAGCCCCTGCTCTGTTCTCTCCCCTATATCCAAGCCCAAATTCATTGAGGACTTCAGCAAGTCTAAACCCCCCTTCATCCCCTGCAGGGACCTGAATGAGCCCTATATCCCCCACTACACTGGTGAGCTGCTGACCCCTGCTCCCTGTCCTGCCCCTTCCTGTGCCCACCTTCCTGTCCATGTGGCTTACTAGCTGCCATGTCTGAACAGGTCTGAAGCCATACAAGAACTTTGAGATCCTGGGCCAGCTCCCATCCCAGGAGATGGGTGCACAAGGGTCTCCAGAGAACATATCCAGACAGGTTCTGCTGCCTGCAGGTTTCATGCCCTACCCTCCCTACCCCCCATGCCCACCTGGCAGGAAGGGGTACTCTGGAGAGTTGGGACACCCAGGCCTGCTGCTGGCATATGGAGAAGATGCATGGAAGACCGCTGCCCCTGTCCCTGAGGTTCCAGGGCAGTCCCAGGTGACTGGAGGGAGACATGCTGGCATTGGACTCACCACCCCCCAGACCCAGGTGGGAGCTGGGTGGTGACTTGCCCCTTCCCCCTTCTAGCTGTACCACTGCAGGAGGGACGAGTACCTGCCCCCACCCCACAGGCAGGAGACTCTAGATGTAGGCAGGTTCCAGCGGCTACCCCAGTTGGACCACCCCAACCTGATCCAACGCAAGGCTATCTCAGGTGGGTGCTAGGGCCTAGGCTGGTCCTTCACTAGGTCACAGGGGTCCAGGTGAGATGGAGGGGGTGAGGGACTGAGGCTCCTGCCCTCCACCTTCCCTACTCCCTGAACAGGCCAACCTGTCCTGCCTCAGCTATTTCTTTGAGCCCAGCTGCTCCCAGGAGGTGCTCCTTGACCTGCCTACACCCTCGTCACCTCAAGACAGTCATTAATGTTTAGGAAAGGTTGACCAGCTTCCCTCACACACCTGGGGGCAACTGGGTATACCCAGAGGAAAACCAAGGGGACCTGGGTGGGACCCTGACAGCAGCCCACCCCCAGGCTATGCTGGCTTCATACCACGGTTCACTTGGGTGATGGGTGTTAATTACCGCGATGGAGTCACACAGGCTATGGACGAGTTCGACAAGAACCAGGTAGGAGACCACCATTCAGGCCCCTCCCAGGTGCCCCACTGGCACCCAAGCTAGGCCTGCACTCCCCTCAGCAGCTCCTCCTGAAGGGATCACAAAGCCAGGCTTCTAGAGAAGCCTGGGGAAGGGTTCTACCTGGCTCAGAGGCCCCCATCCTAACAAGGTCTGGGTCTGTCACATGTTTTGACAAGGGCTAGGGAAACAGGAAGACCTATGAGCACCATCACCCTTTTCTGAGAACTAGTCTTAGGATATGATAACCCTTCCCTTTAGTCCCAGCAGCAGGATTGCAAATTCAAGGCCAGCTTGGGTAATTCAGCAAGACCCTGTCTCAAAATTATAAGGGCTGAAGATGGAGCTCAGTGGTAAATCCCTCCTGGTAACATGTCCCACCAGCTAGCCTTTTGCTTCCAAGGTGGGTAGTGGAGGCAGGGTTTATCAGCACCTGTTTTGTCTTAGTTCCTGTTCAGAAATCCAGTCTGTTCTTTGGGTGAGAGGTTGCCCAAGAACCACTGGCCAAACACCACCATCTACAACAGCCAGGGCCTGATCCCGTTCTATATGGGCTTCATCCCTCGTGAGTACCGCTCCCAAGAATCTACTGCTCACTTCCCTGATCCTGTCCTTGGTTGTGGCCGGGGGATGGCGGTGATTATGGGGTTGGGAGGCCCCATGGGGCCTTGGTCCTTCATTGTTGATGCAGTCCTGCTGTCTGGCCATGTTGTCCCACCATCCTAAGCCTGGAAGGAGTTCACCAGCCCTGCTGAATTTCTGGATAGAGGTCAGCTGGCATAGGATTACCCTGGTCCTCTGGACAGGACAGGCCAGGCCAAGTGAGCCCTGCAGGAGCCATGTGCAGACTTGCCCCAGGCCCTTGGCAAGCCTAAGCCAACTACAGTCTGGCTCCCTCACAGACATGCAGGACAACTATGCGCTGACCTTTGGCAACAGCACCCGCAAGGCCTACCGGAAGGAACTGGAGAGGCGGAAGGAACTGGAGAGGCAAACCGCACACTGAAAATGCTTTAATGGTGATGTCTGTACAGCATGTGATGTTAGGACAGATGGACAGCAAGTGCACAGTGAGATATGGCCTGCAGAACAGCTGAATGAATAAAGAGTTCACACTGCTTCCACACTTTACCCGTGACAGACAGCTCTAGGCCACCTCCTCCTCAGCCTCCTCCTCAAATTCGCCCTCCTCCTCCGCCGTGGCGTCCTGGTACTGCTGGTACTCAGACACCAGGTCATTCATATTGCTCTCAGCTTCAGTGAACTCCATCTCGTCCATGCCCTCACCTGTGTACCAGTGCAGGAAGGCCTTGCGCCGGAACATGGCAGTGAACTGCTCCGAGATGCGCTTGAACAGCTCCTGGATGGCGGTGCTGTTGCCAATGAAGGTGGCAGACATTTTTAGCCCCCGGGGCGGAATGTCACAGACAGCTGTTTTCACATTGTTGGGGATCCATTCCACAAAATAGCTGCTGTTCTTGTTCTGGACATTAAGCATCTGTTCATCCACCTCCTTCATGGACATGCGGCCCCTGAACACAGCAGCCACTGTTAGGTAGCGGCCATGGCGGGGGTCGCAGGCGGCCATCATGTTCTTGGCATCAAACATCTGCTGGGTGAGCTCAGGCACCGTCAGGGCACGGTACTGCTGGCTACCCCTGCTGGTCAGGGGGGCAAAGCCAGGCATGAAAAAGTGCAGGCGGGGAAAGGGCACCATGTTCACAGCCAGCTTCCTAAGGTCAGCATTAAGCTGTCCTGGAAAGCGCAGGCAGGTGGTGACCCCACTCATGGTGGCAGACACCAGGTGGTTAAGGTCACCATAAGTAGGTGTAGTCAGCTTTAGGGTTCTGAAGCAAATGTCATAGAGGGCTTCATTATCAATGCAATAGGTTTCATCTGTATTTTCTACAAGCTGGTGGACTGAGAGAGTGGCATTGTAGGGCTCAACCACTGTGTCCGACACTTTAGGGGAGGGCACCACACTGAATGTGTTCATGATCCTGTCTGGGTATTCTTCCCGGATCTTGCTGATGAGGAGGGTACCCATCCCAGAACCAGTCCCCCCACCCAGGGAGTGGGTAAGCTGGAAACCCTGCAGGCAGTCACAGCTCTCTGCCTCCTTCCTCACAACATCCAGCACAGAGTCCACCAGCTCAGCGCCTTCTGTGTAGTGCCCCTTGGCCCAGTTGTTCCCAGCACCACTCTGACCTATAAAAAGAGAACAAGTTATCATCCTTGCTAAGTATGTGATCACCACTGGTCTCCAACACACATACCAAATGACATGGTGAGATTATGCCCTGGAGATAAGGAAAATGAACCCAAGTAATACCACAGCAGCCCGTACCACCAAAAAATTAAATCAGGCGTCAAAGTTGATGCAGTTTAATAAAACCCTGAGTGGGAAACCCTGGCCAATTCCCAAGGACAGCCACACAGCAAACACGATATGGAGATTATATCTACCCCTCCTTGCCGGAAGGCAGACAGCTGGGCCTGCCTCCAAAGCGGCTTTAGGCAGACACGGAGTGACTCAGAAGGCAAGAGGTGGGGGGGGGGCAGCTATGTAATTCCAGCAGCGGTGTCCTTGGGGCAAGCCCCTTAACCTTTGAGCCGCCCAGGTTAGCAAGCCGTGCCCAACCCCCACCCCTATTTACCGAAAACGAAGTTGTCTGGCCTGAAGATCTGCCCAAAAGGGCCCGAGCGCACCGAGTCCATGGTGCCAGGCTCCAGGTCCACGAGCACAGCGCGGGGCACGTACTTGCCACCTGGCGGAAGAAAAGGGTCAGCGAGGGGAGGCCCGCGGGGTCGCAAGAGGGACTGGGGCGGGGGTCTCACCGGTGGCCTCGTTGTAGTACACATTGATGCGCTCCAACTGCAGATCGCTGTCCCCGTGGTACGTGCCGGTAGGATCGATGCCATGCTCGTCGCTGATCACCTCCCAGAACTGCAATCGATGAGGGCGGGCCGGGCAGGCGCAGGCTGAGTCACGGCGGCCGGTGCGCAGGGAAGCGGCCCCGCCCCGGATGGGCGCGGCGGGCCCTCCCCTCCCCCGCCTGCGCACCCCGCCGCCAGGCCCACAGAGCTTCCGAGTCCACCCCCATCCCGGCTAGCCGCCCAGGTACGGGCCCGGTCCCGCGCGGGCGCTTGGGCCGCAATGCGGGGCGCCGCCCGGCCAGCGGTGCCGCCATCTTCCCCGGTCGGCCGGCTGATCTCCCTCCCCCACGGCTCGCCCAGCCAGGTCCGCAGCATCCCGGACCCCCACCTTGGCGCCGATCTGGTTGCCGCACTGCCCGGCTTGCAGGTGCACGATCTCCCTCATGGTGGCGGCTGCGCGGGAAGCAAGAGGAACTGAAAAGCGGAAGAGCAGACGCGCAAAGTGCTACAACCGACGCTCCGCCAGTGCTTATATACCCACCGCGCCCGCCTCTACCAACCCTGGATTGGGCCCCCAGAACGAGGCCGGCAAGCGGGCTCACTTGATTGGTTATATCACCATCAATCGTGCGGCCTACGGGCTGTCTTCCCAACGACGCCCACTTGTTATTGGTCAAGAGCTGCTGTGGACCTCCCTATCACAATTCCCCCTCACCGGGCTCAACAGTGTCTAGTCCATTGGGTGTTTCAAATGATTGATTTGTCCTCCCATTGGCTGACTCTCGGAAGCTCGCCGACGCGCTGGCGCTATTGGCTGCGCTGGGTTGGCGTCCTGGTAACCGCCGCAATGCAGCGGGACGCGCGGGGGCGGGGGCGCGGGTTTCCGGCCGGACTCGGGGCCTGGGAGCGGGCGGTGTAGGCTGGACTAGGGTTGGAGCCCGACCGTGCGCCTTCTCGAGGACGGAAGCGGCAGAGTGACGCAGCACCGGGGCCCGGCGGGCAGCTAGCGATACACCTGGGCCCTGGCGAGCTCGATAGAGGCGGAACCGGCCCTGTCCTGGGGAGTTTCCAAGCCTAGCTCGGGGTGCGAGCTATGAACGGTTAAATTAGAAGCCGGCTTGGTGTCCGGCGGCGCGGCTGGGTCCTCCCCGGACGCGCAGGGACTCCGCCCCGGCCGCCTCTGCGGCGGTGCGCAGTGTTGTGGAGACTGTGCTGGCCAGGCGCCCGTCGCCTTGGAGCCGCGGCCCAGGATCGCGGAGCTGCGTGGAGACTGCAGGGCCTGGCATGCCTGGCCTTGTCTCTGTTTGTACTTCAGAGGGAAAACAAAACGTATAAAGGAAAAACAGTTAAACTACATGTGGTTGCACCATCAAGCACTTTAAAAGCAGTGTATTTCAGTTATGTTTTTGTAACGTTTTAAAAGGGATAAATTACATCGTAGGGGTCTGCCCTTGCTTGGCCTGTGGGCATCGCTGGATCTGGCCTTCCGGGTGAACCTTTTACCCTTTGTCTACCAACAGGAAGGTATTGAGGGCAATTTCTACTTCTTATTTGTCTACGTAGAGGAAATGCACCCTTTCCTCATCACCTGATGTGCAATACCACTGTGTTGTTTTGGTATCCAATGACTGAAATATTGTCAAACAAGCAGTCTCCTGAGCCTACGTAGCGACATCAGCATTTTCATCCCCTCCCCCACCCCTGACCCGTAATCTGTAGCTCTTGGGGTATGAGGGGCATTCTGTTGCCCACGTTTGCCAGTTTGCCAACTGAACCCAGAGGGTGACTCAGCATCAATGCCAAACTGTCCCAGCAGGGCCTGGGGGATGAGCCCCCTTCTGGACAGACTGGTCCAGAGAGGGGGCTGGCTCCTGTTGAGCACTGAAATAAGACCCATTCTTCAGAAGGGCTGGAGTCCTGCAATGGCATGTGGGGCGTGCAGGGTCATTGCCAGGCATCCTAGGGTCCTCCCGGTGCCCTTAGCATCCCATGAGTTGGCTTAGGGCCATAAGAGTAGCTTAACTGCCTGGGCAGTAGATAGGGAGTCCTTTTAAACCCTGTAGTGAGTTGTTACAAATGGTCAAGGAGGGAGAAGCTTCAGTTTTTCCCCAAATGAACAGAACCTTGCAGTTTGCCCTTCAAGATGTTTGAGTCCCCAGCATTCTGGCATCCTGTTAAAGCCACCCCACTTCCAGTCTGTAGACTGAGGGCCCATTCTCACTAGAAAAAGCTCTTGCTTCCTTGACCAGTACCCACAGGGGTAGGAGGTCAGCATGGCACTCTATTTAACAAGTCATAGAATATAGGTTGTGCCACCTGCCTGCATGAGTCAGAACTCTTCCTGGCACAAAGCTGTTTGCCTTGTTCCTCATGTTGCCCTTGTGAGGTGGACTTTAGCTGGGGATAAGACAGCAAAAGAAGCCAGGCATGTGGCTCAGGCCTGTAATCCCAGCAGCTCAGGAGGCTAGATAGGAGGATCACAAGTTTAAGACCAGCCTCAGCTTAGTGAGCCCCCAAGCAACTTAGTGAGAATCTTTCTCAAAAAGGGCTGGGGATGTAGCTCAGTGGTAAAGTGCCCTTAGTTTCAATCTCCAGTACCAAAAGAGAGAGAGAGAGAGAGAGAAGAAAAGAAAAGAATAAAAGATAGCAAAAGACTCCCTGTGGCCTATTGGGCCTGAGCTCAACAAGGACAGTGACTACAGAGCTGATGGGGAGAGGCGATGCAGGTTCCCACTCTGAACCAAGTGTGCTGCTGCCCCTGTGGGGGAGAGGAGGACAGAATGGGCTAGGAGGGCCTGATTCTGGGCCTGTGGCCAGGCAGGATGCACACCAGAGAAGGCCAGAAGAGCAGGGAAGCAGGGTGGGATGGGTGGCGGGAGCACTAAGCACCTGCCCTCCCTTTCCAGCTTGCAGCTGTTGGAGGCATCCACAAGGAAGGCTCTGTTTACTGGTGGCCATGGTCCCAGTGGGAGGCTGCATTACCACCAGGCAGGGGCAGCAGGCAGACAGTCCTCATGGCCTTAAAAGACCCTGTGGTCAGCCTTTATGGGAGGCCTCCTCTGTCTCCGAAGGAGAGGTGCCCAGGATGCTTCCTTCCCCTCTCCATGAAAAGGCATGCCTCCCCAAATGGGTCTCCCTGGGGAGCCAGACAGGCCCAGGGATCTCAGAGGGACCTGATGCTGCGTCAGCAGGAGGGTCCTACAGTCACAGGGTGGGGGAGTCAAAGCTGGATGCATGAGCTAGCCATGGTGAGGGCTGTTCTGTCTTGGCTCGAGCCCATTCCTGCACGTTTTTGGGTTTCCAGAACAAGCAGTCACCTTCTTTGGAAACCCAGGCCTAGGAGGCTGGGGGGTTGGGGGAGGACCTAGAGGACACCAGGGTTAAGGGGTCAGAGAGGGCCTGGGGAGCCATGGGGAGCACTAAGGGAATCAAAGGGTAAAAGGAMAGGTCCACAGGCAAGAAATGGCCTTGGCCCGGGGCCTCATCTTCCTGATAGCCACATCCCGTAGCCTACTAGTCTAGTTAGGCTGGGAAGAAAGGTTCTGGGCCAGGAGGATGTGAGTGGCAGATGGGCAAACTGGTATTCCTGTCTGGGGTCAGCTCCTGCTCTCACCTCCCCCTACACACGCAACACACACACAACTTGGTGACTGAATGATGAGGTGACCGAATCTTGCTTTCCTTGATGGAAGTGTGGGGGTGGTGGGATTGGGGTGGGTGCAGGCAGCCCAGGGCTGCAGGTTGCAGGAGGTATCCAGTCACCTGCTGGCAGGGAGACAAGCCTTCCAGTGTGGAAACCAGACCTCACAGTGGGGGTGCATGGGGGAAGACCGAACACCCAGCCAGCACCCGCATCGCCTCCAAGGGCTCCCCTGCCCTCCGGGGTGCCCGTCCCCTCCCCTGTAACCCGGTGTGGGGAACAGTGGCTCGGCCTCGCCTTCCCTCCTGGGCCTTCCGGCGGCGGTTGCGCAGGTGGAGCAGGTTCCCGCGGGCCGAGGGGCGCCCCCTGGCGTCCAAGCGAAACCCTGGCCCTCTTAAGCACCGCCTGGGGCTCCGCATCCGTCTCCCCAGCAAGGACCCGGACCCGGGGGCGGGGGGTGGTGCCTCGAGGACAACTTGGTCCTCCTCGCAGTTCCCTCAACCCCCTTCTCCAACGCGACGTCCAGTGCCCGGCCGCCTTCCTTCCGAGCACCCCAGGCGGCGCAGAGGGAGGCCGGTCGCCCTACTTGCTGGGCTCTCCTGCAGCGCCCAAGGCCGCCAGCCGGTCCAACTCCCGGGAGTTCGCGAGGGAAGCCTGCCCCTGCAAACCCACTGTTTCCATGGGCCACGGAGAGAAACCAGCGGCAGCTTAGGACGCGGCGGGTCACCTCCGCCCCAGCCCCTGATGTCCGCTAGGGGCAGCACTGGCGCTGCTTCTCCTGGGGGAGAAGACTACTACTCCTGGGTAACAGGCTCATTTATTTTCAAAGAAGGGGCTGCGGAGACTCAGGAGTCTGCGCCACACCCCTCCCCTAGGGGTGCCTGGCAAGCTCGCTCTCAATTATGGGACCCTGAGGCCAGTAGGGCTGGGGTGGTCTGCTGTGGTGCCCACCCCTTACAACTGCTGGGAAGCCAGGATCTCAGGGTTATCATAGCAGTGAGCCTCTTTGGCAGTACTCTGAGAGGGGCCACAAGCTCTACCAGGGCAACAGTGAGTCATCAGGCGGTCCCAGGGTTCCAGGGAATGGAGCCAGAGGGGCAGCCAGGCCCAAGACCGCAGGCAGCTTGGCAGCCAAGATGGGCGTCGCTGCTGCAGAACATTAACCAGGATGACAAGGAGCACCAGCCCCACCAGGGGACCCCCGACTGCAGCCAGCACCATGCTCCCTGCCAGGGAGAGCCCAAAGGCTGCCAGGGGCAGCAGAAGGAAGGTGAGGAGCAGATACACAATGGCCACCCAGCGGTAGCGAGCAGTCAAGTCTCCAAAGCGCTTGGCCAATGGGATGGGCAGCCGCAGGATGGGCACCAAGTACCACAGCAGTATGCCGGCCAGATTGAAGAGGAAGTGAATGAGGGCAACCTGGAGGGCAAAATGGCAGGAGGGTTAGGAGCCTGGGCCATGTAATAGGAGGTCACCTGGGCTCTTAGAACTCCTGGCCCTCCCACTCTGCAGAAAGGGCCCAAGTCTGAAGCTTGTCTGTGGCATTCTGCTCAGAGGCTGAGATGGACCACCTGGGAGAGCAGGTTCTGACCAGGGGTGGGCACATTCCTACTGTACCACCCTCCTGCACACATCTGGGTCAGCCCCTGTGGGGTAACTGCATCTCTGCCAATATCAAGGCATGACCTGCGAGCAGGCCCAGAGCCACACCGGCAGGGAACACACAACCTCTCCAGGAGGGGTGCAGTCGGGCAGGCATCTGGAAGGGGGTAGAGCAGGGCCCTACACTGGGAGGGCTGAGTGGACAGCTGGGGCAGAGGCTGGGCACAGGCTGGAGTCGGGCAAAGCCTAGTCTTCCCTTCCTGCCAGGGTTTCAGGAGTTGAGCCTGTCCAGGCACCCAGGATGCTCCAACCAGGGCAGTGGGCCAGAGACAGGGTGCTTTAGAGAGTCAGCAGCACTGTCGTCTGGGAGCAGGGTGCAGAGCTGGGGGGCTCAGATTTGGTGGGAGGCACCCTGTAGACAGAACCATGGCCAGGCACAGGTGGCATGGAGTGCCCAGCACAGGTGGATGGGGCCTCTGCAAGATGGCGCCTGGGAAGGCAGGTCATTGTCCAGGGGCCCAACTGTTGGGTTTAGGGGACTGGTACATGGGGGAGCAGGGGTTCACAGGAAGGCATTTTGGGAGTGTGGCACAGAGGCTTGGAGCCCCCCAARGCCAGGGCATATCTCCAGGGCACACAGTGCCGAGCACAGGTAGATGGTAGAGGAGCAGGGGCCACACAGGGGAACCCCGGGTGGTGCTAAGAGAAAGGAGTGGAGGGTATGGGTAAAGCCCCAGGCCATGCTGGGAAAGCAGCTAGAAAGGACAGGTCTCAGGAGGAAGAGCAGGGACTAGGGGCATGAGACCTGCAGGGTGTGAGGGGCCCAAGGAGAGGCCAAGGCTTGTGGGTGGAGCTCCAGGAATTCAGGGAGAACCTGGGCTGTGGCTGGGAGTAGGAAGAGACCTCAGTCAGGGAAGGGGCTAAGGTTGGTACCTGGACAGCAAAGAGCAGCATGTCAGCAGGGCTGGCCAAGGCAGCCAGCAGGGCCGTGGTGGTGGTGCCGATGTTGGAGCCCAGGAAGAGGGGGTATGCCCGGTCCAGGCTGATCACCCCAACACCTGGGGAAGGGGAGGTCACCACAAGGCCCCATGCTGAGCCCCCCAAGACCCACTACCTCCTGGGCTCACCCATGAGCGGCACGATGGCTGCAGTGAAGACGCTGCTGCTCTGGAGTAGGAAGGTCAGGCCAGCGCCCACGAGGATTGCCAGGTAACCGCTGAGCCAGCCAAAGGGGAAGGGGAAGTCTGGGGGTGGGCAGCTGGGTCACGGGCTTGTCCCTGCCCTGCTCTCAGGTCCCAGATCCCGGGGAAGGGACCCCCCCCACCTGCATTGATGACACTCCTCACAGCCTGGGCTATGCGGCCTTGCAGCAGGGAGTTGAGCAGCTTGACGATGAGGACCAGGCAGAGGCACAGCACCAGCAGGGAGCCCGCCAGCAGGATGCAGCCCACCGCCAGGTCTGTGAGYGTGGAGTGCGCAAACAGGTGCTGGCCTGGGGGAGGAGCAGTGAGCTTGGCCCCAGCCAGCCGGATGGGAGGTAGGGGGAAGGGTAGGGGGAGGGGGAGGGGAGGGGAGGTGGGCGGAGGGTGGGGGAGGTGGGGGGAGGGAAGGGTGGGGGAGGATGGGGGACTGAGGGCGGGGCTCACAGGGCAGCCTGTCCTCAGGGACTGTGTTGTTCTCAGTGCAGGGACCAAAGGCTCCACATTGGTTGCTGCTACCCTCCGTCTGGGGAACAGGGGGGCAGGAGACAGAACTCAGGACAGGGTCAATGAGCAGAGGAGATCAGAGGGCTCAAGGGTCAGAGTGGGTGGGGTGATTTGGTGGATCAGATGTCAAATGAAGGACTGGGATCAGGGGCACCTCACCGTCTTTGCCCTGATGCCACACCACCGCTTAATGAGGCTGCTGTTGGTAGTATTGCCAGTAGCACTGCCTGCAATCACATTGCTGTCCAGCTGGGGACAGAGGGATTGTGATTTGTACTCAGAAGTCCACAGGGCTAGTCCTGCTCTGCCTACTTATGCCTTCCCCTCTCCCTCAGCTGGAGCAGGCTCAGACCTTCCTTGGCCCCTGTCCAGGGCAGGGCCTCCACCTCCTTCCCTTCAGTGGCCAGGCCCACGGGCCTCCTGAGGATATGGCCATTCTCACCTGCACAATGAGGTGTGTGAGAGGCTGTGTCAGCGCCTTGAGGATGTCAGGGGCCTGCCCCCCCGGCTGCAGGCTGGCAGCGCCCAGGACCATCTCACTCAGCCTCTCCAGCATGGCGGTGGCACTCTCCAGCGGCAGTAGGACAAGCACCGTGAGCCAGTTGAAGATCCCGTGCACTGCTGAGCCACTGAAGGCCCTATACCCACAGGGGGCTGTTGGGAGACTGGGCTACGGTGGCTGCAGCCCCTGTCCCGCCCCGCCCCCCAGCCCTGACTCACCTGCGAAACTCGTCCCGGTCCCCAGACTGTGCCATTGAGACCAGGGTGCTGGTGACGGATGTGCCAACATTGACGCCCATGATTATGGGCACAGATACCTGGACGGTCAGCACTGTGGGGACACCGTGTCAGCCACCCCACCTGCCCCACTACCCCCACCACTATGGATAAGGGGGGTACACTCACACTTGGACGACACCATGCTGACCACAATGGAGGAGGATGTGCTGGAGCTCTGTACTAGGACTGTGACCAACACACCTATGACCAGTCCAGCCACAGGGTTGGACAGCACCACACTCTCCTTGAAGATCTCTCCTGCCATTTTGCCTGTGTCCAAAAGAGTTTCATTGAAGTTACAGAGGGCTGATAGCCTGCCCCAGCCCCAACTGCCCATCTGGTCACTTACTTCCCAGTAGCTGGAAGGCAGAGCTAAGKATGTCCAGAGAGCAGATAAAGAAATAGAGGCTGCCCAGGAGCCCACAGGCCTTCAGGAAGCTGATGCCCATGTGGCGCAGTCTGCTGGCCATACTGAGCGCTGGGAACACAGGGCAGCACTGTCCTCAGCCAGCCCGCACTCTGCCCCCACCCCCCTTTCCTCTCTGTCCTCCAGGATGGAGCTGTCTTCTCTGTCACCTCTCAGGTAGAGTCCAGGAACCCCTTCTGTCCCATGGAACAGGCCCCTTTTATTCCTCTTAGGGTCCCCAAGGTGGGGACTGGCTYCCCACTCCTGTTCCTTGGCAGGGTGGCCAAGCCCACAACCCTAGTAGTTCCTGGAAGTGTGATCACCAGCAGGCAGGAAGAGGAGGGAAGGTGGGCAGCGTGGCCCTTCACCTCAGGGCAGGGAAGGTAGCTGAGCTGAGGGGCAGCAGTCTCCCTGGGCAGTGAATTTCCATGGGGCCTATGCAGGCATGAGTTGCCCTGTTCTCTCTTCACAGATCTGGGGAGTAAAGGGTCTGCTACCTGCTACCCCCAGTACCAGAGGCCTACCTTTCAGCTGGCCAGTGTCCTTCAGCTGAGGAAGGGCCCATGGGTCCTTGGTCCCCTCGTCTAAGACTGAAACAGAACTGGAGTTTCCTGTAGGATGGAGTCGAGTCCCCAGAAAGGGGACAAAAAAGGACAGGCAAGGGGAGGGACTGGGCATAAGAGGCTTGGGGCATAAGGGGCTTGGGGCAGTAGCAGGAAAAGGTGAGGACTGGGGCTCTGGCTCTGACCAGAGTGGTCAGTAACCCCCATGGCTCTTCAGGTTCAGGTGGTCAGCCAGATTCCCTCCCCTGCTCAGGGTGTGCTGTGGACATGGGTGTTCCCTGAGGCTCCCGGTACCTGCATTTCTCAGACTCCAGTCCACCAGGTCAACGGTGTCCAGAGTTGGGGGGGGAACCTGATCACCAGCGAGGGAATTCGGCATGGATTTGGGGCAGGGAGAGACCAAGGCCCAAGCTCAGATCTGCTGGGGAAGACAGTGAGAGATGTCTCTTCCCCTGCCACCCCACATGCCCATCAGCTGAATTTAGGTCCTCCAACCCGAGGCCTTGGCTGCTGCCCCTCACCACCACCCCTCCCGCACCTCACAGGGGGGCAGCTGTAGTGACCTCAGGCCGCTGCCACGATAGCCTAGTCCAGTTTGGGGCAGCAGAGTCAAGAGGCCCCGTCTCCCCAGCTCCCCACTGGTCCCAGCTGGAAGAAGACTTGGCTGGGCTCTGGGTGCCTGCCGGCGAGAAGTGTGCAGGAGGTAGGGAACCCTGAGACCTCTCCTATCAGGTGTCATTGGGGACACTGCGATGGTCCCAGCTTAGACTTTGGCATTTGATACCAAACGGTGACGTCTCCACTTGATAAGGGCTCCACCCCCCAGGATGAGGAGTAGAGCAAGGGTCCTGGACACCCCGGCCCACACAAGGCTCCTCTCCCCACAGCTCCTGCACCTGTTGTCTGCTGGGTCTGGAACTGCCTGTCTGAGCCCTCTACCCTGACTCCTTCCCAGACCCCTGAACTCAGGTCTGGGGGTCCTTTGTGTCACCCCTCCTTTCTGTCCTAAGATGGCCTCACTTGCCTTAGATCCTGGGGGCCCAGATTGGGGCCCAAGCCCTGGGCCTGGCAGTCATTAGGCCTCCATATCCTTGGAGGGGCCTGGTTCTAGGGGCTCCTACCTGTGTGCGTGTTGAGGGGCACCTGTGGGGAGGAGCCAGCAGGAGCAGCTGCAGGTCAAAGATCCACTGGGTGCGCACATGACCTGCTGTGTGCCGAGCCCCATTAATGTTTACCCAGGAGCTGAGGCCCCCGAGGGGAGACCCTGCCTGGCTCCAAGGCCCAGGGGCCTTGCCCAGGCCCTGGTCCCCCTGGAGCTAGGAGCTCTGAGTCCCCAGCCAAGCTCTCTTGAAGTGGGGTGCCTCCCAAAGATGGGCCCCATTTTAGGTCAGGGGCATTGCAGGGCTGGACCCTGGAGGTCCTCCATAGGTGTCTGTGTGACTAAAGGACACTTTACCACGCAGGGCAGGCTGCTGGTGCTCTGTGGACCTTATCCTGGTCATCCCTGCCCTGACAGAAGGTAGAAGGAAGCCCTTTGCTGTAGTTGTGCAGGGAGGACAGGCTTCCTCAGGTGGCCTGGAGAGGCAACTGGCCAGGGTTTGGATCCTGGTTCAGGGCAGGGTGGGGCCTGGCCAGGCTCTCAGCAGGCTCAGCCCTAGTGATGGCCAGTAGTGGGATCCAGGGCATGGTGGCTGCATCTGCAGAGAGGGAGGGAGGAGGACAGAGCCCATCCCAGGCCATACTGCCCAGTTGACTCCCTGATCCTCCCATTTGAACATTGCTCCCCAGCTGATGGCCTGACCTATAACTTGTGGGATGCCCTTTCTTGGGGTTAGGCTCCTTGCTGCCCCTGGCATATGGGCTGGCTCTTTCCCCATAAGCCCTACTGGCTCCAGCACCCTGCCGTGCTCATGCCCATCCCCACCACCAGGTGCATAGGGGACTTTGCCCCAGGGAAGAAAGAGGCCTCTGTCCACTCAGCAAATTCTCTTTCCTCCCTCTTCTGTCCCACACTGCCAAGAGGAGCCCCCCAGGTCTCCTGAATGACAGCTCCTTGCTATGGGGATAAGGCTGTTATAGCTCTGTCTTGGGGGGTCATCAGTGTCCACAGCCTCTGACCCCTGTAAAGGGTCTGTGGCCAGCTGGGCTGGGTTACCTGAGGTAGGTCACCCCTGAGACTCGGAGCTGGCCCTGCCCACAGCATTCTCCTTGATGCCTGTCACCCTGTTTGGTGGCTGTGTGCTGTGGAGACCCTCCCAGAACAGTGCCTGACACGTGGTAGAGCTCAGTGAACGTTGTTGAAAGACAAATTCACAGGGCTCCTGTGCAGGTCAGGGATGGAGGAGATGGCCCTGCCCTCCGCTCCTGGCTCACACCTCGGACCATGTGCAAGAGAGGGAGGCCCACATCCATTCAGGAACAGCCGCGGCCCAGAGCCGCTTAGCAACCACCTCTGGGTGAGTCCAAGCCTGGGCTGGCTTGCAGGTGCCTCAGCGGCAGCCATCTGAGCACACAAGGAAATCTGGCCAGGTTGGTGGGAGGTCACCAGCTTCCTGTGGAGTCTGCAGCACTATGGCTAATAGTCCCCGACCTTAGGCTGTGACCTGAGGGCATCACAGTTGGGGTGGCAGCATCATGCTGTGCCATGTGAGGCTGTACCCAGGATGCCCTGCCACCAAGCTGTGGGTGGACCGCCTGTGTTCAGCGGTTCCAGTGCAGGCTTGGGCAGCAGTGCCCCCCACAGCAGTGGGAAGGAGCCCAGACCTCAGGGCTGCCCTGGGGGCTCCAGCACAGGCTGCCGCAGCCCCAGCAGCAGCCTCTGGGCTGGGGAAAGTGAGGCTGGAGGCCCGTGGGGGGGCAAAGCCCAGCTGGCTGYTGAGTGACCGGGGCGCTGCCTTTGAGGGGCCCAGGGGGGCGGCGCTCCATTCTTGGTGGCTCCTGCTCAGCCTTGACTGCCAGGAAGGCAGCCAGGTCGAGGTCCAGCATGGCCACCCCTCCACGGGGTGTGGGTGTGCTCTGGCGGCACTGTGGACAGGGGATCCAGTGCTGCTCGTGGGCCAGGGTGTCCAGCTGCCGAACACATGCCTGGCAGAAGGTGTGGCCACAGTAGAGGCGGCGGGGCAGGTGCCCAGAGAGGTCGTAGGCTGAGTAGCAGATGACACAGTCGTCCCGCAGGGTCCCAGGGCCTGTCCCCTCCTCCAGGGCTTGGGGGGTCTCAGGCTGCAGCATCCTAGGGGAGATGTGCAGGGAAGCTGGCAGGGGCAGTGACACAGGTCACAGCTCACATCCACCTGTGTCTGTGACCATCTGGCACAGGTGGGGTGCTAGGACCAAGAGCTCGGGGGCTGGCCACAGGGCTGCACTTCTAGGGTGGGTAGCAGCCCTCAGGCGATCAGACACTAGGGCCGGGTGTGCTCTCTGTTTTTTTGTGGCCACTGGCTGGTCAGCATCCTGTCCCTTTCCACCCATGGCCTTCCTGTGCAACCCTGGCCCACCCTGCCCAGGCTGCTTCAGCCCTAGAGGCGCTTACCTGTTTCAGCTCCACTGGGTAGCTATGCCCAGCCAGTGGGTGGCCAGAGAAACAGGGTGAAGACCCAGGGCACCCTGGGACTCCCTCCCTGGGCTCGCGTTACTGGCCCTAGCATGGGCAAGGCGGCAGGAGGCAGCTGGTGGCTGCAGCAGCAGTGGGCTCCCCTTTCAGCCACCAAGCACCTGCAACTGGATCTGAGGCACACCCACTGGCAGGAAGCAGGCTGACCCCTCCCCTTCACGCCACTCCCTTCCTGTCTGCCATAAACCCCAGCAGACCTGGCCTCCGCAGTTCTTCCTCAAAACTCCCCCTCCTCACCTCTCCCCCTCCCCATGTACCCCACTCTCACCCTTTTTCTCCCACACCCTCCCTGCTCACGCAAACTCTCCTCACTACACAGCTTTCTGGCCTCAGGCTGGGACAAGTCCCTATTTAGTCCCCAGCTCATGTCCCCTTCTCCAGGAAGGTTGCCCAGCACCTTGCTAACTCAGAGCCCGAGGGTCCTGGCTTTCCTGCAGCCTCCCTCAGGGGTGCACGTCCTTCACCCCAGTGCCTGCCAGGATGGGTCAGTGATGTTCCAGTCATATGCAGTGGCCAGCCCCTTAGGCCACAAGGTGGCACTCACACACCATGTGCGGCAGACCCCTTTACACAGGGACCATCTCAGACCCCCTCCAACATTCCCAGCTGGCCTCTGCTGGACTGTGACCTCCAGGCCAGCCCAGGAAGCTTTGGTTCTGGAAGGTGTGGTGAGGTGCCCCGTGACAAAGACCACAGGCACAACAGAGTTGGGGGCACCCAGTAGAGTTGGAACAGACTAGCAGAGTCCCAAGGACCACTCAGCCCCACTGGGAGGAAGTCCAAGGGCAGAAGTGCTCTTCTTCCTCCTGCCCACCACCTTGGCAGTCTGCCTCCAGGACTGGTCAGACAGGTTCCCCTGCCTGGGTGGGGGCCAGCCATGGAGCAGGGACAAGGAACCCAGCACAGAGGTAGAGTAATGACCTGTCCGCTCACGCCCAGAGACCTCCACACACAACACACCTGCCTTGCCTGTCCTTTTGTGGCAGGGGAGGGCTGGCCACAGAGGACCCGTCTGTCTTGTGAGGCCAGCTCAACTTCCACCTCCATGTGGTGCCATGTCTCTGCCCTGCCCCGGAAATGTCAGGATGCCCACAGGGGGAGTTCTCATGCACTCCCTGCCCTGGCATCTAGCTTCTTACATGTGGACAGGCACCCTGCGATGACAGGGGAGCTGGCACTGTGGCCCCCTCCTCCACCCAGCCCCCTCCCTGCCTTGCCTTCAAGAAGCCCAGCCTGGTGTGGGACAGCAGGCAAGAAGCATGGATCTGGATGTGCAGGAATTCCATGTTTTGTGGGAAACCAGAAAAACAACCTGGCTCAGACTGGGAGGTGACTCACAGGGGGCAGGGCTCCATCCTGACTCCTGGGCTTTGCTGTCATGAGTGCCCTGCACCTGCCCCTCCCTCCACCATCCTACCGACCTGATCTTTCTGCCTTTCTTGGGGATCCCCCACCCCAAGAACCATGCATAGCATCCTTTTGCCATGTGACTTGGGATTGATCCTGCTCAGGGTCTCAGGCTCAGGCAGGGAGTACAAAGCAGCCTGGCCATCCCCTGGAGGCCGGGAGCCTGCTGGGGAGGCTGTGTGTGCATAGTGTCTGCATGTGGGAAGATGCTGTTGTCTAGCCTGGGACCCCTCCCAAAGGGGCCAGCCGCAAAGGAGGGGTTGCTGGCACAGAGCTCACACTGCTTTATTGCCAGGGCCTTGTGGGAAGCATCAGGGTGTCCCTATCACCATCAACACGGCCAGTGTCCAAGACTCTGTTCCAAAGGGCCCAGTCTGAGCTGGTAGTCTTCCTGGTGGGCAAATGCCCATTGTCCAGGGGCAGGAATTAGAGATGCCCATGACATGGCCGCCCCTAATGTCCAGCACTGCCTTGGCTGCTGAGCAGAGGCCTAGGCCCACAGCCCTGATGGGGTGGGTAGGCTATGATACCACACAGCAGCAGCTGTGACAGCGACAGAATCGTGGGCAGTGGCAGCAGGAGCAGCAGGGGCAGCAACAGCAGTGATGGGCAATGTCATCCCCACGCCCCACAGGTGGCAGACCGGCATAGGTCAGTCCTCCTGGGCGCTGTCCACTGCCATAGGGGTTGCAGGGCTGCTGACAGGCCTGCTGGCTCTGGTCAGGAGCAGTCCCCTTGGCCCCTTTGGGTCCTGGGCCTTTGATGGGCCGCAGGAGACAGGCTGGCTCTGGGGTGCAGGTCACCTCTGGCAGAGGCTGCTTCTCTGAGGATGTGGATGAGGGACCCTCTTCTAACTGCTGCCCCAGGTCAGGCCGCAGGTGAGCCCGGGGGATGCTGATATGGGAATAGGGGTTCTTGACCACCATCTCGTGAGGGTCCATGGCACAGGCTGTAGGAGTAAGCAGAGATGCAGACATCATGTCAAGAGAAGGACAGTTGCCTGAGAGCTGCAGCCCAGGAGAGGCCTGCCTAGTCAGGGCCTGCATCCCCAAGGCATCAGTGTTCATGGGCACAGAGCCCTCAGCATATGCAAGGCCCACATTTCACAGAGGTGAGCCCGGGTGTGAGCTTACCAACAGTGAAGGCCAGAGCCTCCAGCTGCCACCCCCAAAGTATTCTGGCCCTGCCCCTGGGATGAAGTTGGAAATGGGGTTGGGGAGGCTAGGAGACACAGCTGGGTTGGTCCAGGAAGGGCAGGGGCTCTCCTGGGTACCCTGAGAACAGATCAGAACCCACAGCCAGAACTCACCTGCAGGGCCAGTGGTGGCAGTCTGTCCTCCCAGTCCTCCCAGAGCCTGTGAGCGCAGCCTGGCAGCTCCCTTTTCCCTCCTCAGGAGGGGTGGGGCCCTGGGGTGGAGCTCAAAGATGGGGCTCCCAAGATCCCTAGAGGCCCCAGCAACTGGAGCACAGCAGCCCGCCCACCCCTCATTCTCAGATAGGTGTGGCCAAGGTTTGGGCTCTGAGGGGCACCGCCAACCTGGGGTGACTCAGGCAGGATGCATCCAGGGCATGCTCTGCACCCTCGATGTCTCACCAAGGAAAACCTGGGGTCATGGCCCCACAGAGGAAGTGGGATCAGCCCTCAGATCTTAGGGCCTGCCAGTGGTCTGGGGTCCCCAAACCTTGTTTGAATCCATCAGTGCCCCAGCTGGGGCTGAGTTCCTCCCTAGCCTACACCAGCTACTTGGGGATTTTCCACTTTTCTAGTTAACAACAAACGTTTGACACAACTTGGTAGGTAAACCTTACTTAGCTTGCAATTGACCACATGGACTTCAGACACAAGTGACAGTGTTTTCAGCTCACTTCCCCAACCACACTTTCCCTCCAGTTGTTGGGCTGGGCCAACCTGCCCCCAGTGCCCCATCTCTGGCCCTCGCCCCTTCCCAACTCCGCAGCTTCGGCTCCCTGGTCTTTAGCAGTCGACGCAGGGTCGTGGGGGTGATAACAGGTGCAAGCTCTGGGGGGGGGCCGGCTTGGCACTGGTGGGCTCCCCTAGACCCTGCACCTGCAGAACTCCCGCCTGGGAAGCACAGGGACCAAATGGGAGGTGGCCCGATGACCAGGGTGACGGGATGGCCTGCGTGAGGCGGTCAAATCAGTCCGGACACGACTTCTGGCTAACCAGAACGTGTGGTGAACTGGGCCTGGGAACTCCGGCTTCGGAGGCAGAAAACGGGGACACACTGCGCAGGCGTCGGAGGCCCCGCCCATCGCTCCCTCAGACCCCGTCCCTAGCGACAAGGCGGAGTCTGGCGCATGCGCAATCCGGGCTGGGGCGCTCAGTGGAGACTATTCCCCCAGAAGCCTCAGCGCTTCAGGGTTTCTCAAAAGATCCGGTTCGGAAGCTTAGATATTTGGCTTGGGCCTCCCGGCAGGGCGGGGCGAGGTGGGCCTGAATCTTCACGGGGCGGGGCCACGCTCTACTGGGCGGGGCCTCAAGCAAGGGGTGGAGTCGACGGCCGGGTACCTCCTCACGTGCGGGACTGGCGAGCCCGCAGGTCAGTGCACAGATCCTGCAGCCGAGGGTGTGCTCTAGGCCTTCTGGCCGCAGCACCTCAGTTGCCCCACCGTCATGGTAGGCCCCATAATGCCGCCCCTTCCGATGCATTCCTGCTCACTTGCACACCTCTCACATCTGCTCTGTGGAATGAGTCCCGCAGAGCCACAAGGCGGCCCCTTGTTGCTCCACAGGAACACCTTTCCCTTGGTCTGGCCTGTAGAAAGGAGAGAGGCTGTGGCCCTGAAGGAGGCCTGGCTGTCTAGGGTCAGGCACAGAGCCTGGTCACTGAAGTGGCAGCGTGCTACATGGTGGCCTTGCAGGGCGAGGGATGGCACTCCGGAGGCCCTGACGCTCTCGATCCCCAGCCCTGCAGTTACCAGCAGGGGTCATCCAGCAGGAGAGTCACCCGGAGGTCCTCTCCTCAGGCGAGGGCTCCCCACGGGTGGGGAGAGACTGTAGCCAATGGACAGGGAACCCTGCTGAGGAGAAAACAGAAAGGAATGGGGCCTCTCTGCTGGGTGGGGTCAGGTTAGCACACAACGCGCGATGATGGCGTGCCTTCCTTCTGACCTGATGGGATGCCAGGAGGGCCACTCCCATCCTGGGCAGGTGAGTGTCCTCCGTGGGCTGCTCTCTCCACCCAACACGTGAACTGTCCAACTATCCAGCCATCTTCAACCTTCCGCATACTTCACCCCACCCATCTGTCCACCACTCCTCCAAGTCTCCTGACCCCCGAAACCCCTTGGTCCACTCTTGTGGTGTCTGCTTGACCTCCCCATGCTCATCCCTCCTGAAGTCACATCCCTCTCTGAGCCATCTAGGACTGGGCGCGCGTGGGTGTGTGGATGAGCAGGACACGAGGCATTTCCACGGGGGACCGAATGGAAGGACAAGCAGAGACCATACTCCTGGGGATCACGCGAGGGCAGGCACAAGGTGGGGCGGTGGGTGGGACCCAGCTTTCCTAGAAACCCCTCTGGGGTCCTCTCTCCTCCCCACTTGGGGCATTATGAGACCTCAAAATGTCAAGGAAAAAACGAGGATTTTCCTTCCAGAGTTGGGGGTGGGGGGTTGCCAGGACCCAGGGTCAGCCAGCAGGGGAGGGACGGATTGGGGGGCAAAATGGGGGTCCTGACCCGTACGCAGCTTACAGGGGAGGGCGACCCCAGGAGCGGCGCAGGGCCTGGAACCGATCGAGGGGCGGCCGAGAGACTGGCCCCGCCCCGCGGACCCCGCGCGGGTCCCCAGACAGGGGGTGGCGCTGCGGGCGCGGGCGGGCGCCGCGCGCACTGCGGTCCCCGCGCCTCCGCCGCAGAGCGCGCCACGCTCCGCACGCACCTGCCGCCGCCGCCGAGCTGAGCCCCGCGCCCCGAGCCCCGCGCCGGCGCCCCTGGGTGCCGCCCGCGCCCGCCATCGCCCGAGGTCGCCGCCGGAGCCGCCCGAGCTGCCTGAACCTCCCGAGCCTTCTAGCCACCCGGCCAAGGCGCGGGCGCCGCATCCGGGCCTGCCTTTGAGACAACCTCTGCGGCGGCGGCGCGGCCCGGGGACGCCAGGCTGGGGCAGGTGAGCGGGGGAGGGGCGGGGGTCCGACTCATCGCCCCTATCCACCCTGGCTGGGTCAGCCCTCCGGACCCAGTGTTTGGCCTTGGAGGCGGGGACTGGGGAGGGAACTGGGTCCCGCGGAGGTGGGGTTCTTAACGCCCGAGGTCAGGGTCAGAGGTCGGGCGTCCGTCCTTTGTGCAGGGAGGGAGTGAGGGCGAGGGTGGAAATGGGCCGGAGTGCGCCCCTCATGCTATTTCTCACCTTCAGCTCAGGCCTGGTGCAGGCCTCTCCTCTGATCGTGCTGCGGAGCCTGCCGCCCAGGTCCTCCTGCAACCAGTGCCCAGGCTAGCTGCCTTCTCTGGGCGCCCTGTCCTGGAGCCATGGGGCCCACCTAGCCCCTGCCTGCCCCGATGTCCCGGCCCAGGGATTGCTGACCTCGGCTGCTGGGGGGGCTCCCCTCACGCCCCCTTGCCAGCCTCAGCAGCCAGCGACCCTGGGTGAGCCCCTAGGTCAGACCTCCAGCCCAGGGCAGCCCCCTACACCTCCCTGTCCCCGTTTGCCTCCCCCCCCACCACCACTTCCTCCTCCTCCCAGGACTGGACCAGAGAAGCCACTGTGGCCACTGGGCRGGGGGCTGACCCCCCAGCTCTCACCGGCTGCCCCTAGGAGTCCACGGGGCTGCCGGGGACCCCACCAGGCCTGGCAGGACCAGGATGCTGCTCCCTCTCTTCCTCCCCGCCCCTCACCAACACCCTCTCCTACCCGAAAATCCAGTCTGACTGCAGACAGCCGAATGCCAGCTGACCCTGGGCCCGAGGTGGGCAGTGGCTGGCCGGGCCTCCTCATGTCCTGCCTGAAGGGCCCACATGTCATCCTCAAGATGGAGGCCATGAAAATTGTCCATCCTGAAAAGTTCCCTGAACTCCCGGCAGCTGCCCCCTGCTTCCCACCTGCACCCCGGCCCACCCCCACTCTGGCACCCAAGCGTGCCTGGCCCTCACACACAGAGATCATTGTCAACCAGGCATGTGGGGGGGACATGCCTGCCTTGGAAGGGGCACCTCACACCCCGCCCTTGCCACGGCGGCCCCAAAAGGGCAGCTCTGAACTGGGCTTCCCTCGAGTGGCGCCAGCGGACGAGGTCATTGTGAATCAGTATGTGATTCGGCCTGCACCGGCTGCCTCTGTGGCTTCTTCATCAGGGACTGGGACAGTTGCAGCAGGTGAGCCCCTGGAGTGCCCCACCTGCGGGCACACATACAACGTTACCCAGCGGCGGCCCCGAGTGCTATCTTGCCTGCACTCTGTGTGTGAGCAGTGCCTGCAGATTCTCTATGAGTCCTGCCCCAAGTACAAGTTCATCTCCTGCCCCACCTGCCGCCGTGAGACTGTGCTCTTCACTGACTATGGCCTGGCTGCGCTGGCTGTCAATACATCCATCTTGAGTCGCCTGCCTCCGGAGGCACTGACTGCCCCATCCGGTGGCCAGTGGGGGGGTGAGCCTGAGGGCAGCTGCTACCAGACCTTCCGGCAGTACTGTGGAGCTGCGTGCACCTGCCACGTGCGGAACCCGCTGTCCGCCTGCTCCATCATGTAGTGTGCCCACCTGCCCACTACTGCGTGCCAGTCCTCGCTCGATGCTGCTTCAGGGATCTGGCCCTGCCCTGTTGCCTGCTGACCCTTCCTCACCCACTATGGCTTCTGGCCCCACCCCATGTGGCATTGTCGCTGCAGCCAACTTTGCCATTAAAACTCTTTGCCAAAGTTTGTACCTGTCCCCTGGACTAGAGCTATGGGCTATGCCCAAGCCTGGGCACAGGGTGGGCACCTGCAAGAGGGAGGCCACCTTCTGCTCAGGGTTGGCTTTCTCAAGCTTGGTGAGCATGTCCTTGGGAGGACCGGGTCTGGCTGTGAACAAGTCCCCTTCATGTTGGTGCAGAAGGGCTGCTAGTGTGCACCACAGAGGGCTGTGTGGCAAGTGTCCAGAACTGCCCAGCCGGGTAACTAGGACCTTCCCTTGGCACCAGCCAGTGGCTGTATGGAGAACTCACCTGGTCCTGAGTACCTGTGCTGGTCTACCACGGTTATGTGGGAAAAACCTTTGGGCCAGTTATGAGCAGTGGTTTCCAGATGGCCCAAGACTGTGATGAGAGTACAAGGACCCAGGTCTCCTGTCTTGATGGCTGGACCACTTGGGATTGTAGAAAGTACCTTTGCAAGGGTACTTTATAGGGACAGCAGCCTGGATGGTGGAGGTGGGGTAACAGCAAGGACAGGCGGGACAACAATGGTATTAGCAGCTACTGTTTATTGAGAACCACTTTTGCCAGGACAGCACTTAGCACACAGTGCTGGGCCTCACATTACATCACCAACAAGCTGTGAGGTAGGCCACAGCTGTCCCCTTTTTCAGGTGAGGGCCTTAGGCTTGGAGGTGGGAGGTGGTGCAGGCAGGCAGAGCAGGGGCTTGGGCCTGGCACTCCTCAAGCTCCAGGGCCTGCACGGGCCCTTGTCCCTTGCAACACACATCTAGTGGTGGCACCCTGGATGCTCCAGACCACCCTCTGGTCCTGGCCCAGGTTGGGCATGTACAGTGCAGGCTCCTCCTGCTGGCCACCCTGACCTTCAGGGATGCACACTGGCCTGTACGATGGGTGAGCCCCTGTCCTCTCCAGGGAACAGACTCACTGCCAGATCTCTGTTCACATTCACATCTGCCTGCTCAGTTGGACCTTGGAAGGGGGAGGTGTGGGCCAGTGTGTGCCCATGGCCAGACTGTCACTTGCAAGCATGTGGGGCCCTGCTCACAGACATTWCTGCTGGACTGGCCTCCTCTAGCAGCTGTCCTTGGCATGATGTCCTTGGGCTCAGTCAGAGTTGGGTCACGGGGGTGGGGGTGGGGGGAGGGGGCTTTCTGGTAGAGTGGGGCTTCTGGGTAGCCCTGGGTCCTGGTCTTGTTCAGTGATAGTAGGTCTGGACTGAAGGCCAGTGCCTGGGTTCTGCTCAGCGGCCAGAGCGGTCCAGGAGCATGAAGAGCAGCCCTAGCAGCATGAGTGGCATGAAGATGAGCAGCAGCCCCAGCAGCTCAAGCACTAGCAGGCTCAGCAGTGCCAGGCGGCGGGTGCAGGGCCCACGCTCCCGCAGTGCCCACAACCAGGTGCCTAGGCAGGGCGGGCAAGGCAGGAAGGGCAGGCAGCCCCGGCCACCCACAGGCCCTGCCAGGAAACGCAGCTGGTAGCGGTGTTCTAGGAAGCCCCAGGGCCCAGGGCCACGAAGGGAAGGTGTTGGGGGTGAGGGAGGTGGTGGGCACTGGGGCCCGTCAGCCTGAAGCAGCTCCTCCTGCAGCCGGCAGATCTCCCACTCCAGCACAGGTGTCTTCTGGCGACACAGGGGGCAGCGCACACGCCCCAGGTCGGTGCTGGGGGTGGTGCCCAGCAKCTGGTGCAGGCAGCCCACACACAGGCCATGTCTACAGTTCAGCAGGGCCAGACGGTGCTGGTGCTCGCCCATCCCGTAGGGCTCTGTGCAGATAGGGCACTCCTCCCCCACACCCTCTTCCTGCTCTTGCCCAGTTGGCAGGGACCAGGTGCCAACCTGGACTCTGGTCTCCAGCAGGGACTCACTGTCTAGAGTTCTGGAACCCTGGGAGGCCCGGAGATCACTCCCTTCTTCTGCTGGGAGCTGGCTTGGTGGGTCCAAGTGCTCAGGGTCAAGCAGGGCCCAAGATGGACTGCTGTACCCAGAGCTGTGCTCACTGGGGCCCAACGTGGGGGACCCAGGGCAGGAATCAGGATGGATGGGAGGGGACTCCAGCCTGGCAAAGGCAGTTGGTGGGGTGAAAAGTCCGTGTGGCCCTCCAGGACTGGGCAGCGTCTGCACTTCACCCGCCGTTTCCTCAGAACACTGACCTCCAGCCGTACCTCTGAGCTCACAGTCACCACTGGAAGTAAACTTTGCGTAGGTCCCTGCTGCGTGCCAGCTCCAGGTGGCTCCTGGGCCCAAGTGGGGTGATCCCTCCAGAGAGCTGACCAAACAGACGCTCCTCCAGGGCTCCAGTCGGGGAGTTGACTCCTCCCACAGTGCACCCCTCCTAGAGCCAGAGGCCCCACCCAGGGGCGGGACTGCACGCCCCGCCTCCAGCCCCAGAGCCTCCCCATGGCTCTAGGACGCCCAGGTGCTTGGTGGGGCAGGGTTCTTTTAGGGGGGAATTCAAGGCCCTAGGTACAAGTGTGCAATAGCAGGGCTCACCATCCAGTTAAAATACTCCACCACAGGAGTGCTCAGGCAGACAGCTGACCAATGGCATACGAGCATCGTTACAGGTGCAGGGGCCTACAGAGGGTCATCCTCAACCCAACCCATGCAGAGGAGCTGTGACCACCCCCCCCCCCCCCCCCCCCCCGCCCCGCCAGCATCAGGAAGGTAGAGGAGCACACTTGGGAGCAGCTGCCCAACTGTCATGTTTATTGCCAAGGTTTTCTGAATCAGGAAAGGAAGGGGCTGGCCTCTTCCTGCTTCTCAGGAAGTCGGGGGTCCTGATGGCCTCCAACAATAACCGGAGTTTTGTGGGTGCTGCAGGGTGACTAGAGACAGCATGGTCCCTGCAAACTGAAGAAAGGGAGCCCTCACAGGACCCTAAACTTCAGGAAGGGTTCATTAGGTTCCTGGTACCCATCAGGGTAGGGGCCTTCCTGGAGCATTGCACCAGGCCAGAGCACCAACCTGATGGAAAAATGGGATGGGATGGTGTAGGTGAGGGGCAGCCAGTGGAGTCAAGGCTGAGAGTGTGGGGCCCTGGGTCCCCCTGGGGTGTGGCTGTGAGCAAGGAGGGCCCTCTAAGCCAGCTGAGGCCTAGGAGCATCAGCCCTGGTCTTGATATGGACTCTAGGGCTCAGGTATCAAACAGGGGCAAGAGGCCCCTTTGCTAGGTAGTTCCTCAAGCCCAGGTCTCAGTCTGGAAGCGCAGTGTCCGCTGGAGTCTGGCAAGGTAGGTAGCTGCGTTGGGGTGGGAGAGCCCACCCTCCTCCTGGAAGATGGACATCAGGGCTTCCGTGACATCCGTTGGCATGTACTTAGCATTGCTGGAGGAGCAGGCCAGAGGATTCAGTATGGCTGGGAGCCCCAGAGAGCTGGGCCCATTCCACCACACCATGACCAGGGCTCACCCAGCCAGGTAGAAGTAGGCACCACGTCGGTCCAGCAGCTCCCAAACCAGCGGTCCTAGCTCCCGGAGTCGGTGTTGCACGTATACTTTCCGCCCCTGCAAGTAGCAGGGGTAAGTCTAGACTCTCTTCTCTCCTGCCCTGCCCTGGCTCCTGAACACACCCACCTGCTCCCGGGAAAAGGCTGTGACAAGAGTCAGGCAGCCCCGCTTCTCCAGTTCCTGCCACTCATCTCCCCAGTAGAAGTCCTGGTCCCGCCAGCGGCAGCCAAAAAATAAGAAGTTTCCTGGGAAATACAGGGGGCCTCAAGACTGGACACAGGCCCTGGGGATTCAGTCAAGCCAGCCCATGGTGACCCTGCCCTGGAACCCTGCACTCACCAGTCTGGCCCTGGGCCACACGTTCCTGAACAGCTGCTCGGAAGGGGGCCACACCAGTGCCAGGCCCCACCATGATCACAGGTGTGTCTGGGGTCTCTGGGAAAGCCAGGCCCCCAGGACGCACCCACAGGGGAACTTGGACAGGTCCTGCCATGAGAGAGGTGGCATAAAGGGTGCAAAGGACCGACTGAGCAGCCTGCTAGGGATCTATCTACCTAGCACCAACTGTTGCACAGGAAAGACGGGGGAACCCGGGCTGCATTCCCTCTCCCACCTCCCAGGAGCAGGAGGCACCTTTCTCTGGGTCCAGAGATGCCAGCCAGGAGGAACAGAGGCCCCGGCGGGGCTCCTTGAGGCGTGTCCAGTACTGTACCACAGCCACAAGGATCTGGAGCCTCCTGGGATGAACCTGGGGAACAGAGGTGCCCTGCCCACTAGGCCACTCCTGCCCACCACCCACTCCACCCAGTGGCAGTCCTGGGCAGGAAGACCATTCCTGTCAAGAGTGTGGCCCCTGCCTGCACCCCCTGCCCCAGTCCGAGGGCCAGTCCCTGCTTTGCCTGCCAGGCCTCACCAGCAGAGAAGAGGCGATGGAGAAGGCTCGGGGCCGGATCTGCGGGATGAGGTCCAACAGGTAGTCTGGGGGGATGGCACCCGCGGTGTGTGGGAAGTCACACAGTACCTGGACAGAGAGAGTCTCAGCACAGCCACAATGTGAACACAGCTCAGGGTTCTGTGGCCCCCACGGACCTGCCCACCTCCAGGATGGTCCTTCGAGGCCGGCTGCAGTACTCGCAGAGATCCTCCTGGCCTTGGGCAGAACTGAGCTCCAGCAGCTTTTCCCGCTCCAGCTCATGTGGGGAGAGACAGGCCAGGAGCTCAAAGAAGGAGCGACGAGGCACGCTGGCAATGTCCAGGTACTGGGATACGAGCTGCCACACAGAGCAGGGCTGGGGCAGTCCCGGTGGGCAAGGGACATCTGCAGTGGGAGCAGAAGACCTTGGTGTGCTGGGACCTCAGGTGGGGCCTTGGATGTGGGAGAGTAGATGGGCAGTCACCACTGAGGTCTGGCCTGGCTCCGACTCACCTGGCTCCCGGGGCTGCAGCACGAAGCACTGGCTGGGATCCAGGCCCAGCACGTGGCAGAACTGCTGGGTATGGGCTGCCGAGTTTGAGGGCTGGATCAGGACCACGTCTCCTGCAGCAAAGCTGTGTGGGAAAGCCACCAGGGCGTGGAGATGGGGCAGGAAGGGCAAGGGCAGGAAATCATACTTCGGGGGAATATGTAGGGGCTTAGGAGACTGCAGAGGAAGGAGGCAAATGTCTAGGGAGGGCTGGGGGTCTGTGGGTAGAGGCCTCCCTGCTGTCAAGCCTCCTCCCCAGCTTTGGCAGACTCTTCTGAAGCCCAGATCCACTGCCCACTGTTGCCCATTTTGGCTTCTAGGATACCTAAGCACCTTGTCCCCTCTGCCTGCTTGAGGTCTCAGGCTTGCTCTGAATCCCTACCTGATGCCAGAGTCTGTGATGTCGAACTCAATCAGCCGAACATCCTGGAAGTGTGAGGGACCTGTGACCCTCTGGTTGGTGACCATGGGTGCCAGGAAGGGCTGGGACTCTGACGGGGGTCCCAGAGAGTCTGAGATGGCTAGGCATGACTCCTTGGATCTTGGGTTGGGGACCTCCGGAAGGAACTGGAGGGTGAACTTGGAGGGTAAGCTGTGGGCATGGCAGAGACATCAGACCATGGCCTTCCCTCCTGGAGGCAACATACCCACACCAGAGGGGACCAGGATGAGGTTCTCGGCCACACCCAGTCTGTGGCAGCTCCAGTGCTGACCCAAGGCCCACACTCACGGGACTCCATGGGGGATCACAGGGAGGTCAATGGGCACCGGGTATAACTCCAGCACCTTTTCCCACAGGTCTCCCAACCAGGGGTCGATGATGGCATCAGGCCTGAGAGAGCACAAGCATCGTCAAGGGCAATGGCTGGCCTGTTGGCCAGAGCCCCCAGGGGCATCACCACCCATGCTTACCCCAGCTCATGCTGGTCATCCCCCAGGCATATAGGCAGGAGGGCACTGGCCCCAAGCTGTAGCAGCCGGCGGTGTAACTTTTTGGCCACAAAGTTGAACCTATGGAGACAGCGAGGCTGACCCACTGCTTGGGGCACAAGATCCTCCCTCAGGTGGAGACGTCCCACACTGACTGCACCATCAGAGAGGGCAGGGCTGTGACATGTCAGGGGAAACAAGGAGACCAGGGCCCCTACAGGTGCCATGAACAGCAGGGCCTTGCAATGCCAAGAGCCCATGTGGGGAGACAGAGTCTGGTTCACCTATCATTTCATCCCCAAGTGGGGGCTGAAGACCACCATAGCCTCCAGGTTCTCTGGCCAGAGACCCTGAATTGCAGGGAAAAGTCAGAGGTCCTCCTGGAGGCTGGTTTCATTTCTCTTTGGTTTACAAAGGCACAATTAGACCCTGTAGGCACCACATCACACCACAACCTCCAGGGACCACACTAGGTGTGAGCCCTGCAGCTGGGGCTCCCTTCCAACTGCTCTGGTATGTGTGCACACTGCCAAGGAACAAGATCTTGCAGCAGAGCTGGTCACATGGCTGTGGAGTTCCCATTCTCTCCCCTTTGTCTAGTGACTAAGAACCCTACTGAGCACACAGCTTGTGGTATCAGAATGGCATGTGGCACTGGAAAGCCCTGGTTCCCTTCCACAGGAAGTTTTCAAAACTTTGGTGTCATAAGATGCCATCTGTACGCTTGGACACAAACCCCTCATCATCTCCTTAGGAAATGATGCAAAGTAACACCACTTTTTGCTTAGGGACAGTGGCTGTGTGTCACAAAGACACTATAAGAGGAAAGCCAGGAGCCATGCCCTGCCAGGTAAGGCCCACAGAGTGGGCTGCCATCTCAGAGCTCTTTCCAAATYCTGAAACCTCACAGTGTTTTCTACTTGGTTGTTGTTTTGTTTTGGTACTGGGCATTGAACCCAAGGGCGCTTAGCCAGTAAGCCATATCCCCAGCCCTTTTTGAGACAGAGCCTTGCTAAATTGCTTAGGGCCTTGCTCAGTTGCCGAGGCTGGCTTTGAACTTGCAATCCTCCTGCCTCAGCCTCCTGAGCCGTTGAGATTACAGGCCCAGCCTGTTCCCTACCTGGTAAGGAACAGGACCAGGCTGATCTCTGCTGGAGTTACCACAGGTTGGGATGCGATGCTCACTCGTCTGAGCCTTGGCCTGGATCCAAGGTAGTGCTGTGTTCCTCTGCCTGCTCCCTGTCTGTCTCTCCCCTACTGTGAGGCCCACATAGCCTGGAGGCCAGGTCACGTGTCACTCCACCAGGGCACCTCTCACTTGGCCTGGAGAACTGTCCCTTGTCAGGCCAGAATGCTGGCCAGTATGCCCATCGACCCCTACTCACTTGGCATAGGAGGAGTCCCCAAGGCCCAGGACAGCAAAATCCATCTGACAGAGGGAAGTGGAAGGCAGGTTCTTCCGGAATATGAACCTCCAGAAGTTCTAGAGGCACAGGAAACCCACATTAGGGTCTCTACCTCTAGGCTGACCCTGTGGCGAGGAGGGATCAGGGAAGGGGAAGAGGACTGGATGGGGCAAAATGAGATAGGACATCTGACCACAGGGCAGGGCTGGGCTGATCCCCAGGATGCAGGAAGGCCGGCAGGAGCAGGGCTGCCTGCCAGTGGGAGGAAGGCTGCACACTGTGAGCCTACCTTCCCAGGGCGCCCGTCTGCCTGCTGCTTAAGACTTCCCTTCTTAAAAACTATTTTTATTCTAAGAGGATGACAAGAAACTTCAGAAAATGTGTACAGTTGYAAAGGAGTAAAGCTACCCCACCACTACCCAGAATCAGCATCACAAAGAGGTCAGGTGGCCATGGTTGTCCCCACTCCCACTCCTCAGCCCTCTGTTCCCAGTCAGGCCCCCCCAGGGCACTGACTTCTCCCAGTCACACCACAAGTCCTGAGCCAGTTCTCAGGCTAATGCTGGGCATGGGCCTGCTTGGTCACAGCAGTCCTCTGGGCTGGACCCTCTGATGGGTTCTGAGCCACCCCTGGAATCCTCTGTTGGACCCCAACTCCCTCCTTGCTCTGTACTGGCTCCCCAAACTGTCCCCCCTCCCCATGGGGACCTTCACCTCCATGTCTGCCATTCCCAGCAGAAGTGTAAGCCTCTCCTCCCCTGGGGGCTATACTCAGACCTTGAGGTCTGAGGCTGAGCGCCTCTGGGTACTGTCCTTGTCCATCCCTGACTGGAGGAGCAGGAGCTGGCTGGGCACAGGTCAAGAGTGCCTCCCCTTCACACCTACCTTGCAGCCTTCCTGCTCCTCCATAGCACCAGAGGCCCTCTTGCCAGGAGCATGCTGGTCACCTCCCTACTTTCAGCCCAGGGCAGCCTGTGCATGTAGGTACACCTCTGTACTKCTGCCTGTCCCACATATGGCCAACAAAGGCTCTGCCTCCTGAGACCTGTTTCCTGAAGCCTCAGGGCTCATTCCTGCTCCAGCCTGTACCCTGGCCTATCTCAAAGTACCAGAATCCTCTACATACCCTCAGCAGCCTGGGGCTGCTGGGCTGGGGCCATTCCCTCAGGCCTGAGAAGCCAGAGCCACATGCCTGCTTCCCCTCTGTCCCTGTCAGCCACTGGAACATGCTTTGTCCCCAGCAGCAGAAACCACATGGAATGCCTTGTTGCCCTTTCTGCAGCTGGCATGGCCCTCTCCAGGTACACTGCTACTCTCAGGCTGGCAACTTGTCCTCCAGTCCAGGGACATTCTGCTACTTTCTATGATCATCCCCCTGCTACCTTCCCTGGAGTAACTTTGAGTTCTGCCCTTTTCCTTCCACTTTTTTTGTTATGCTGCCTGGTACGATTCTTGAGCTGTGCTGCCCAGTCTTTAATGGCCTCCCTCAGGGTCTTGGGCTCTGCTCCTGAGTTCCATTTGTCTCTCTAGGTCTCTACCTTTTACTGGGGTCTTTGCTTCACTGTGCTGTGGTGTTTTGTGGTCTACCTGTACTTGAGACTGATGGGAGACCTTGGGGATACACTTGTAACACAATGGGCTTTGCCACCAGGGGATGAGCAGGGCTCTGGCTTCTTTACTGCAGCATTCCCCATGAGACCCAAGCAGAGGCCAGGGCCTTCCTGCCCAGCGGCCTCTCAGACAGCCCCAGTTCTTGCTGTGGTTGAGAAGGCAGCCAACACTGGCTCCCCGCTGTGGCTCTTTGCCATGGCATTCTTCTTCTCTCTAGTCATCTAAACTCTGGTATGACCCATCGTCTCCCTGGTGCCATTGGCTGCTCTGACACCTAAGACCTGAGGAAGATTTCTTTTTCCTCTACCTCCCAGGCAGGCCCCTCCCACCACACACCTCCTGCCCGTTCCCCCAGCCTCCTTTTCTGTTGTCCTTCTCAGTCTGTGGGGATCCCAGATGTGCTCAGGTCTTACCCCAGCCTCCCCACAGCATTTGCCTTCTTCCCGCTACCCTTTCCCATCAACATTTAGCATGCCAGTCTCTTCCACCTTATAAATGTCCTCTTTTGAAATCCTTAGTCCTTTCATAGCCAGAATGTGTTTTTAAATCAATGCCTAAATATTGTCAATGATCCTCCCACCTGCTCACTCATTTTATTACGGGTCTTTTCTCCCTGCAAGCCACTGAAACTGTTCTCCCTGACTACTACCAGCAATCCCAGGAACTCCCTCTCAGGCCTATTTCTGGACTTCCGTGTGGCTTTAATGACTATAGTTCTACTTGAAGCACCCACTTGAGGAAGCTGGCCTTGGGGAAGCTGTTCTTCATCTCCTCACCCCATTGCCCCATTTTATGCTTTGCTCAGGATGGCAGTCCTGGGGAAGGGAGGGGCTTCCTTTTMTCAGACATCTCTATTTTTTTGGTGGGGGGGGGTACTAGAGATTGAACTCAGTGGTATTCGACCACTGAGCCACACCCCAGCCCTATTTTGTACTTTATTTAGAGATAGTACCTCACTGAGTTGCTTAGTGCCTCACCTTTGCTGAGGCTGGCTTTGAACTCATGATCCTCCTGCCTTAGTGTCCTGAGCTGCTGGGATTACAGGCGTGTGCCACCACGCCAGGCTCAAACCTCTATATTTTGATCCCACACTGGCTTCACCCCAGGACCCTCCTGGAGGTCCAACTTACGTACTTCCCCAGATGTCTCTAGGCACTTGGCCCCACCATGTTCTCTTTCTGCAGGTAGAACTACCTAGTTCCCAAGCCCAAATCCCTGCTGCTAGTAAACTTTCTTCCCCATCTTCCAGTTCCCTTCCATTACCGGTCCTGTTGACTTTACCTTCTAAAATTCTCTGGAATGTGTCCACTTTGCTTTGCTTTCTACCACCACCTCACCTCAGACCACCGGCTTCTCTTGCCTGTGCTGTGATCTCCTATCATTATTCTTGGCCCCCTACAAACAGATGGTGTTCTTGGCAGAGTGTGAGTGTGACTGTGTCAGTCTCACAGTATCAGCCCATTCCGAGTCATCTCTAGTGCAGCCCACCTCTTGGAACCAGACAGGCTTCCTGCTTTTCCTCCCCTGCTCTTTTCCCAGTGCTGTCTTGGCTTGGCCATGCTCAACTGTCTTCTGCTCTTCACAGAGGCTATCTCATCCTTCTCCTCTGCACAGGCTGTTTCCTCTTCCCTGTCCCATTCCATTCATCCCAAAACTCAACCTATACTCCTTCCTTCCAGAGAGTTCTGCCTAAGGCTTTAGGCTCCCGTAGCAACTGACACTTTCCCCAACAGCAGGCATTTCCAGGCATTGTAGTAGTCCATTAGATCTATTGTTTCTGCAAGTGTGAGGGTAGAAATGTGACTACTGGGTTCACAGCTAGATTTCCAGCACATATTGGTGCCAGGGGTATAATATGCACTCGGAGGTGATCAAACAATTAAACGTTCCCCGAATGCTGCACAGCCTTCAAAAGAACCCAGCCCGGTTCCTATGTAGTTCTGAAAGCACACAAACAGGTAAAATGGAGAACAAGGTTATTTGGTGGCTGCGAAGAGTTCGTTAGAGAGGACAAGCAGAGCCTCCATCAGCTCCACTCAAAGGCATTCTCTCCAGTCCGGCTCTAACGCGCGCCTGCTATCGAAGGGCAACTGCTCATTGTGCTACTTGGACTCTCCAGGTAACGGAGACGCGGCTGAGGGCGGAGGGAGCTACATCAGGCCGGTCTTACCTTCATGTTGTCAGGAGGGTCTCCTTGCCCGGTAGTCGCACAAACAAACACCACCAGGGGCTCCCTGATCAGATTGGCCTCAACAAAAAGACACAGATGTAAGGCCTCTGGCTGTCACCGTCAGGCACGCTCCCGATCTGCCCCCTCTCCTTCACTCCGGGCGGCAGGGGAGCGGGGCCGGCGGCCTCTCTCTTTCAGCCCGGGTGCCAAGCCCCCCTTCGCCCAAACCCGCAGGGGCAGGGCGGAGGGTGTCCGCCTCGGCCGCCGGTTCTCACCACGGCGTACGAGTCCAGCGCCTGCACGCGGCAGCCCAGCCGCCGGCGCCGCGCCTCGCGGCCCAGCCTCTCCGCCACATCCTGGGCCGTGCCCGTCTGGCTGCCAAAGAGCACCAGGAGCTGCGGGGCCGTCATCGCACAGCGCGGAGAGCCCCGCAGCAGAACCGGCCCGGAAGTCGCAGGCCGACTTCCTGCTTCTGTGGTCGCCCGGAAGTGACGCCAACGGACCGTGCCGGCGGGGCATGGCGTCCGGGCGTCTGCGGGCAACTAGTGCTGGGTCCCGGGCTGGGTCCGGGGGATCGGCGGCGCTCCGGGGCCGGGGGCCGGGGCGGGCGGGGCCGCTCGCTGCTTGTCGGTCGCAGCGGCGGCGGCGGGCGGCGGGCGGGCCCGCGGGCAGAGTGGGCGCGGCGCCCCGAGGGGCGCGGGCGGCCGGGCTCTGGCCCGCGCCCCGCCGGCGCGATGCTCTTCTCACTGCGGGAGTTGGTTCAGTGGCTGGGCTTTGCCACCTTCGAAATCTTCGTGCACCTGCTGGCCCTGTTGGTGTTTTCCGTGCTTCTGGCACTGCGAGTGGATGGCCTCGCCCCGGGCCTCTCCTGGTGGAACGTGTTCGTGCCCTTCTTCGCTGCTGACGGCCTCAGCACCTACTTTACCACTATCGTGTCTGTGCGCCTCTTCCAAGACGGGGAGAAGCGGCTGGCAGTGCTGCGCCTCTTCTGGGTTCTCACAGTCCTTAGCCTCAAGTTCGTCTTTGAGATGCTGCTGTGCCAGAAGCTGGTGGAGCAGACAAGAGAGCTCTGGTTCGGCCTGATCGCATCTCCAGTCTTCATTCTGCTGCAGCTGCTCATGATCCGCGCCTGTCGCGTCAACTAGTCTCTCAGGGAKTGGAGAAGGAGAGTTGCACAACTGAACTGCTGGACTCCTGCTGAGGCCCTACTTGCATCACGCTGGAGAAGAGACACTGGTTTGAAGGCAGCGTCCTCTTGTGCCCGGCTGAGAGTCCAGTTTTCTCTATGCCAGTCTAACATTGTTTCTTCAGCAGGATTAAAGAAGAGCAGACTCCATCCTTGAAATGCATTTCCTGTTATTAATGCTTTGAGTAGCTAATCCTGAATTGTGATCCTAAGAAGGGACCCAGCCCAGCCGGTCCTGAACTACTCTAACAGTAGGAAACTGCACATAATTAAAATGTCCTGGTGGGCTCTGAATACTCAGCATGGATCCTGGGGATGTACTTCTTTATGAAGGCGGCAAAACTGGATTAGGATTTTGTCCAGCCAGTAGCACTGAGGGAAGAGCTCAAAGCTCCGCCCCACCTCTCCCGGCATGATTATGACCCCATCTGGATATCTGCCACCTGAGAAAAGCACTCTACTAGCAAGTCATAGCTTGGCTTTTTGTTCCAGCAGATTGCAATTTCAGGACTTTCCCACCACCTTGTGGCCAGCACCATTAGTGCATCTGGGACAGATTTAGGCCTTTCTAAGGGACCAAAGACAGAAACAGGTGCTCTGATGCTCATGGCACAGAGACTTACTTATGGAGCCTTGTGAGCAGCCCAGATTGTTGGCCTTGAGGTCTTTGGTTTGATGCCAGTTAGGTGCCAAATGAGAACATTTGCTGAGATGAAAATAAAATAAGAGAATGTTTTCCTGACATGAATATTGTCACCATACCTCTCTTGAATAAGACAAATGCTAAGATACTCCCTACTATGTGGAGTGGAAATTCATTACAGAGTTGAGGTTGTAGGTAGACCAAAAAGTGTGGTGGTGGACTTCTGGGAGAATAGGAAGTTGTCAACTCTGCCCTGCAGGATAAAGACAATAGTCCAGGACAGAGTCGACAACTTGCTAAATAGTTCGTGTGACACCAAAGCCCTTGACTTCTTGCCAGTGCATGGCTATTATTGGGGGGATCTATAGAGCAGGATTGCACCCAGTGGCCTGAGGCTATTTTTTTGGTACTGGGGATTGAACCTGGGGGCACTTAGCCATTGAGGTACATCCCCAGCCCTTTTAATCTTTTTTTTTTTTTWAATTTTGAAACAAGGTCTCCCTCAATCCCCAGTATCAAACAAACTCCAAAATAACAGCAAAGATGAATGTGTGCTGGGTGTGGGGAAGCACTCATGTAATACCAGTAGTTGGAGAGGCTGAGACAGGAGGATTGTGAGTTCAAAGCCAGCCTCTGCAGAAGTGAGACAGTAAGCAACTCAGTGAGACCCTGTCTCTAAACAAAATACAAACAAAATACAAAGTAGGGCTGGGGATGTGTCTCAGTGGTCAAGTGCCTCTGAGTTCAATCCCTGGTACCAAAAAAAAAAAAAAAAAAGTGTGACAGAGAACAAATATATGAGACCCTGGGTCTCAATCTCATCATTTAAGCCTTTTGGGCCAGATCATTTTTATTGAGGGTGTAGGAGGGACTGTTCTGAATGTGTAGGAGGTTTAGCATCATCCCTGGCCTCTGCTAAAATGGATGCCAGCAGCACCCTTTGCTTATGACAACCAAAAATTTAGCCTGATGTTTGCAAGTCCTCAACTGTCCCGTTGAGACCCACTGGGCTAAAACACCGTCTGGCCCTTTAAGAACAAGCCTGCTGACTGTTGCACCAGTACAGTAGCTTGGACAACCTTAAGCTTCATTCCCCTTTGCCTGGTCATGTTAGCCTTTGGGATACCTGAGTTGGAGACGTGTATAGTTTGTCTCACAGCTACAAAGATGTCTCCTACCAAGTTTGGCATAAATTTTGTTAAAGACATACAAGCTGAACATTGGAGTGGTTTTTCTTGTAGGTTATTTATTTATTTATTTATTAAATTTTATTTTTTAGTTGTAGTTGGAGACAATACCTTTTTTTTTTTGTTATGTGGTACTGAGGATTGAACCCAGGGCCTCTCACGTGCTAGGTGAGTGCTCTACCACTGAGCCACAACCCCAGCCCTTGTTTTTATATATGTGTTTGTGTGTGTGTGTGTGTGTGTGTGTGTGTGTGTATTTAGTTGTAGATGGACACAATAACTTTATTTTATGTGGTGTTGAGGATTGAACCCAGTGCTTCACGAACTTGCCTTCTAGGCAAGTGCTCTACCACTGAGCCCCAGCCCCAGCCCATAGGTTATTTATTTTTAGAGTCACTGTTTTGTGTGCTCCTGTTTTATTTCAGTAATTTGGAATTGGCATTCTGCTGCTGCAGAAGTGAGAAGCATGAGGCTTTATAAAGGTGGATTGAAAAGCTTCTGGAAGATTGAAATCCAGTTTTTCTCCAGCTTAATGGAGCAGTTGGGAGGGTGAGGCAGAATTATGATGGTAGCAGGGGACCCTGAAGCTGAGAAGGGACCCTTAGGCCAAAGCCTACTTGGTGTCTTTGCCGAGACCCAGGTGCTGCTGGGAAGAGTTACTGAAAGGTAAGTGGAGTGGAAGACGGTGATGTCTGTACTGAGACCACTGCTAACTACAGGACAGGTGAAGGACAGACTGCCACTTCTCTGTGCTTTCCAATTTCCCCTTCTTCCTGTTGGCTCCAAGCAATCTCCCTACTGTCCCTGGGCTGGAAAGAATATAGTGAGCATTATGCAGTCCTCCCCAGAGAAGAAAACTTGGTGTCACCAAGATACCAGCTCAAAGATGTGCCCTCAGCGTTAAAGGCACTTCCACCCAGCCTGCGGGGAGGGACGTTAAACAGATAAAGGGTGTGACAACGGGCTGCTCACGCGAAGCTTCTGGCTTTTGTGATTTTCTGCATCGGAGAGCTGTCCAAGTGTGCAGGGCCCTGCGGGCCTGCTTATGTGTGAGAGCAAGTAGGCTTCCTTGGTGTGTCTCCTCGAAGATAGGTCCTACTGTAGTAGGTACTGGGAAGCACCACCTGTAACAASAGATTCACACACTTCTGAACAATGCAGTCTAAGAGGCTGCAAAACCTAGGGTTGCAAAGAAACCCATTCCTTAGGGCGGGGCGGGGCTCAGAAGTGGCACCTACGTCTCTCAGGGGCCCTCGCCTGAGAGTCCACTGTTGTTGGACGGCAGGTGGGAGGACCTAGAAGCTGTGCACTCAATAGCACTCCCCACCTAGGTCATGAGGGCGGTACAGCCTGCACTTTGTCCGCCGTCGTGCTGACAGCTCCCTCGCTGTGCTCTCAGTGGATGGAACATGCAGGCTGATTGCTAGTGCAACGAGGAAGTCCAGGCTCAGCCAAGGTCRTCCGCAGCGCGAGACTGGAGTCCGCCCGAGGGCGCTCCAGGCCCCGGCCCTCTGGCCCGCCCAAGGCGCCTAGAGCCCCAGAGCGCAGAGGCGGAAGTGGGGGCCACTAGGATGAAGTTCCAGGACCGGGGGCGTGTCCGGGGCCCTTCCCCCAACAGGGAATGGCCGGCGCCAGGCATAGTCCAATGAGGCCTCTGGAGGGCGTTCCAGGTGAGCGTCCTTCATTAGACAGCTGCTGGCCTCCTCCCCTACCATAGGTGGAGCGGCTGGGCGCGGGGCGGGTCCGAGTGCACTTGCCCAATGGGCAGCGGTAGGGCATGGGCGTGGCGTGGCGCGAAGGCCGGCGCGCCCCTGTGCCGGGCGCCTGTGGCTGGGGCCGTCCGCCCAGTGCCGTCGGCGGCCGCGTACCTAGCATGGCCGGCCTTGGGCGGCCGGGCCCAGGGCCGCGCGCAGCAATGCCCGCCTGGAAGCGAGAGATCCTGGAGCGAAAGCGGGCCAAGTTGGCTGCCCTGGGCGCGGGTCCGGGGCCCGGCCCTGCGCCCGCGGGGCCGGACGAGCGCTTGGTGCTGGCGGAGAGCCTGGGCCCGCTGCGCGAGAACCCGTTCATGCGGCTCGAGTCTGAGCAGCGGCGTGGGGCGCGGCCAGCGCAGCAGTTGCTGGAGCTGTACCGCCGTGTGCCGGGAGTGCGCACCATCCGCGCCGACAACATACTCATCATCGAGTCGGCGCCCGGCTTCCCGCCCGCCGCGCCGCCGTCCGCCGGCATCCGCGCCGCCGAGGTGCTGGTGTTCGAGGCGCCGCCGCCCGGCCGAGTCAGCCGCCTGCTCGAGAAGTTCGACCCACCCGCCGCGCCCCGCCGCCGCGGGAGCCCCGAGCGCGCCCGCCCCGCCCCGCCGCCACCACCGCTCACCGGGGCGCCCGCGCCCCCTGCCCGCCCTGCGCCCCCTGTTCAGCCGGTGCCCGCCGCTCCGC